CTACGGGCTAATATAGCAAACCCGGCGCCTATTCTGAAAGCTTTCATACCCAGCCGCAATTCGCTTCGGTTTAGGCCGCAAGTACGGGGACAAAGCGTAACTCATTGCCGAAATTCCCACGGACTCCGTCCCCGCACGACGATGATGACACCGCGCGTCGACGAAGACGACGGTAACGAGTTTCAGCAACGACCGAATCCGACACACGTGATAGACGATGAGGTGTTCCGCGCGAACGTGTTCGTCGTCTCCTCGTGGTGGATCATTCATTTTTCCCTTTCGTTCGTGTGCGTGTCGCGAATCCCGCGAGTTGCGAAACGCGAGTGATACGCCCGCACGGTGGGACGGAAGCTTGCAAATCTCGAAATTGCAAAATTAACGCGATAAAGAGAATTGAATATATATCCTAAATTATGTATGGCCTACACTTTCATATTGTACTTTGAAATTATATAAGCACGTTTATTTTTCTATAGAAACGTGAACGTTAATATATTATATACCTATCATGCAAATTATATATCTATGTTTTATCGTTGAATATTTCAAGTCGTACGTACATAAACAAGCACAGTCTTATTGCTACCGAATGTATCATCCTTAAGTTTGTGGGATACGCGATTAAAATTTCTTCATTTTAATAAAAAACAATGTAAACAATATTTCTCTCAAACCTTATTCAGATCAAATTTTTACATTTAAATCAACATATAAGCTTTTGAATCTACTAGGACCATTTGAGATTGAATAATGTCGAAAGAGTACATGTTGTACATCATTTACAGGCGATAATTTTGCTGTAAATGCCAGAGTAACCGAATATGTTAAGTTTCTTATTAAATTAAAAATAAGATTCACGTTCATAAACGCTAATATTATACATGCTATGTTTTTTTCCTTCCGTCTTAAATGATAAAAGTCACTAAAGAAAAGAGAAAACTGAAAATTGCGTTATTATATAAATATATGCTTAATTCCACTTTTTTATCTATCGAAAGTAAATCAATAAGGCATTATTTTAGTATAAATAAATGTTTATTGCTCAATCCCAAATCCATTTACGGAGATATTGGAAAAGAAAGTAGCAAACTCATCGTACTGTGTGTGTGCACACACCTTCCGCGTTTTAGCGGCTCCGCGCATACCTGAGCACTGTATAGTCGCAGATTGAAAACCTACCTACCCACTGTAACCCAGACGCTATTCGAAGTATCGCCTACAATTACAAGCCCCGACGGCGACGCGTTAATGTTTAGGGGTACGGTACAATCAATTTGGATACACGAAAACTCGAATACGTTTGCTAATGTCGCTGCGCAAACCTCGTCCCATGGACGATTCCGTTCTGAATTGTGGCTGCGTTAAGCCTACCAGACTCGCAGTTTCCTTTACGGCCTCGTGATTAATATTATCCCGAGAATCTCTTTCTCTTTCGACGATGCCGGTCGATACTTTTCCGCCGGTGAGCGAAAATCGCCGAGCGGGAGGTGAGACATCGGCGAAACGAGCGGCAACACGGCGCACGAGTGAAAGTGATCGTGCGAGGCGAGACGAGCGGAAGTAAGCCGACTCGTACGTACGCGCACGTAACTCGGAACGAGTTTAAATAACAATTTCGCGGGAGAAAATGAGCCATCAAAAACAATGCGACAGTTAAAAGGTTTAATTCGAATGGTCAAAGGTGGAGGAGAGCGGAGAGAGAGAGACTCTCTGTTTGACTGCAGTCCACAGGTCGAGGGGAAAGCGAGAGGGTAGAAACGACGAGGTTCAATGGAGAGGAGGACGGCCGGCGAGGAGGGTCGCGGAGCGAGAGAAAAAGAGGGTAGCGCGGGAGCGAAGGGGAGCGCCAAGTTGAACCGGTACCTTTCAGCCGACGTAGTCGACCTCTCCGTGCAAACGTTACGTACGCCTGTACTTGTATGCCGGCGAATTATTATGGTGAAACGAGTACGAAAGCACCCCCAATATCCTCCGCGTCGTACGACTACGAATCCGCCGTTTGCGAGAGTGTGTTCTCTCGCGGAAGCGCGTGCACGTGTGTTTCTCTCGTAGCTGCTACATCATTGAGTACGAAGTTACTGGTCGGGAGCGGGAATGCTAATACCGTGGCTGTCACCGGCAGCAGCGGCTTCACCGATCCGTCCGTCTGTTTGTCTGCGTCGGGTTTAGAGTTTTCCGCCGATCCACGAGCGATAGTACGGGTGCCATCTCCGTAAGAAGTTCATCGACGCTGGCTGCTGCCTTCGTTGATCGCGAACTGTCCGCTCGGCGGTCGCGCGCACCGTTCTCGAGTGTGCGGAAATTTTTCATTTTCGCGGCGCGTTCGAAGCGGCAAGGCGCGAGTACTCCGGCTATTTTATCGATCGCCCTCCTCCTCGCGGGAGGTGCGCTGAATCTCTCGGCGCGATGTATTTTCAGGGAAAAGTCCGTATATCGTCGCGTTCAAGGTTTCCTTTGCAAATTTCGCGTCTGAAATGAAGGTAAAAACTGCGGCAGCCGCGAGCGGCCGAGAGCGCTCAATGGTCGTCGGTGTGCTCTCGCGTACCGTCGTTAATCCACGGACGGAGAATTTTCTGCATTTGATAGAGATAGATGTTGAGACTCCGCGATCATTTATCATCGGGTCGACGACAACGTGAACGACTGTTAAACGGTAAGCCGTGTTTAAGGTTTCCCGATTGCACCTGTTTACGACAACGGGCATTCGATAATCGGGATCGAATATGTCAGTCGTTCGGTTCTAGCGGATCACGCACATGTACATTACAACTTGATGGAGTAGGACGGGAGAGAAAAGACTGACTCTAGGGAGTCGGCGCCATTGATCTGGTCGATCTATGGAAGCTCGACGCTCGCAAATCAACCACCACCACACCCGCGCGCGTTCTGTGTACGTGCGTGCACACGCGACCGCTCCTTGTCATTACACCGCCGCTTCGGCATGCGTACACGCGCGAATCGAGAAGTAAGTCGATATTCAAATCCGGGATTGAATAAACGCTCCACCCGCCTTTCTTTTTTCAAGAGAAATATTTTACAAAAGTGTGACACGGGGGGGAGGGGGGGTCGCATCGTTTCACGAAGCTGCACGCGCGCTCCAAGATCGAACAGTTTCGCAGGCGTTTTGAGAAGCTGCTTCATGAGCTCCACCGGACTCATAATTCTCATTGCTTTACAAGCGTAATTCCAGCAGCGCATTCAGACATCGAAGATCGATTTGGTGGCCGTGACATAACTCACTAAACAAAACGAACGCGCAGCGCGGCAAGCGGTGGTTGACAAAAAACAAAAACAAAAGCAAAAGAAAAAATAGAGCGAGAGGGGAGGGAGTCAGGCGGCGTGAGATAGAGAGGGAGGCAGAGAGGAATAGAGAGACTGAACTAGTGCGAAAAGAAGCAGTAAGAGAGAGAAGAGGACGTTCCGATAGACGTAGCGAGGGGCGGAAAGAGACGCGAAACGTGCGACAGAGCGAGAGAAAGAGAGAGAGAGAGAGAGAGAGAGATAGGGCGCGGGGAGGAACACCACGCGCGAGTAGCGAAAGCTGCGCAAAAAAACCGCAACGCGAAATCCGGACGCCCTGGAAAAAAGGGGCAAAAAGCCAGAAAAAAATAGTGGAACGCTCAACCCCGCCGGCACCCCCCTCGCCCGAGCGAGCGGCGGCCCGATGGGGGGAAATGAAATCGACAGGGCGTCCACCTATCGGTCCGATGCCACGTACACAATCCCGCGCGTACATGTAGCATCCTCAACACATGTCGGCGGATTGCTTTGTCCACGTGCATTACGATACACCAGAGCGGACGCCCATGAGCGCACACATTCGCTCGCTCGCTCGTGCGCGCGCGTGTGCTCTCCCGTGCGGTAGCCGATCCGTGGTGCCTGTGTGTTGACGGCGCGTGTGTACGCCGACATAACTAAACAAGCAACAAGTGACCTTAAAATCTACGAATAAAAATACCGGCCACTGATCGGATATCGTGCGCAGCTGCAGCGAAGGCGCGAAGGGGTGAAACTGGGTGAGGGGTGCGTGCCGCGCGCCAAGGAAGCTCGCCGAGCAACAGCGCGCCGGGAATGCAAACATCGCGATTGCATTGAGAAAAACACGCGCCGCGGCAAGGCGCAATACGGAAGGAAGTTTCGTCGATTAAAAGTGTGTGCGCGCGCGAGCGAGCGAACGAGCGGCGCTGTTGCACCGATTATAACCGGTTCGCTTCACTCGTTCTCTTCTTTTGCCAAATATAGACGCGATTATTACAGCAGGCTAACGAGCGCGCGCTGCCCGGCTCGATTTCCTCGTTAATATACGCTAAATGCCGCGCGCGCGGAAAACCCTCCCAACGCGCTTCGACTTTTCCCGATGCAGATGTTCTTGTCGTAATTGATGCGTGAACCGCACGATGCAATAGAATAAATAAATTTTCCCGTAATTAGGCTCTTTCGAATCGCGCGGAAAGAAGAAGGATGAGGAATCATTGGCCAATGTCAAGTTGATTGTAGAGCTTTTATGTAACGCGCGCGAGAGAGAGAGAGAGAGGGGCGACGATATCTTCTTCTCTGGAATATTTTGTTAATATAAAGCGATGCGTGGTTTTAATGAAACCTGCCCCTTCGCGCGGCTGAGATATTTGTATTCGATATCGAATCTAATTATTGTAATCGCGATCGTACTTTAACTCGATTTGCAGCCGCGCGCGCGGTTTTTTTAAAAAAAAAAAAAAAAAAAAAATTATAATTACCAGCGCATCGCCTTCGGTCATTTGTATCCGTATTATCGGTACATCGCGCTGCGGGGGCAAAACGAGAGAGCGGAAGCAAGAACGGGAGGTAGAAGGATAGCGCGCTTGCGATGGTTTTCGCGAAGAGGGCGTCGAGATTCTTTCCGCACGGCACTAGCATAGTAAGAAGCAACAAGTGACCTTAAAAACTGCGGGGGATAAAAATACTGGCGGTTGATCGAGAGTTTTGCACGCGCCGTCGCTGAGCCAGCGGTAGATTGGGGTATGATTGGGTAAGTGAGTTTTTCGAGGTTGGAGTAAACCGGTTCGGGGCGCGAATGCAAAAAGTGCTGCAACCGTGCCGAGATGCAGGCCTGTAAAAATCGCGTCTCACGCTGTCTCCCATCGCGTTTCCCCTCAACATCGATCTTCCCGCGGAAATGTGTCATTCGCGATTGACCGCGCGCGCGCGCTCGCCCGGCCGAATCGCATGCCGATCGAGATTGCCGCGTTCTCCTCTCGCGTTTAAAGCCCTCTCTTTATTTGCGATATTAATTTCGATGTTTGACATGCATAACACGCGGCGCGAGAGATTTAAGCAGGCTTTATATGCACCGAGTTATATATATTCCCCGCATAATTCGAAAATACAAGAAAAAGCTTTCGGCTTTTAATTAGAGATATTATTACGGACTCTTCATTATTTATGTCGCTTTGCATTAAGCTCCGTGAAATATACTTTTACGCGCGGGATTGTCAGAGCCGCGCGCGCGATTGTGTGCCTTATAATCGTTATAAACTTCTTCCATAAATCATCCCGGCGAGGCGCGGATGCGCAAAAATCCACGAAAGTGACGAACGTGTCGCGTCTCCCGCGAGCGATGTCTGTCGCGACGACAGATACGAACGGGGGAAGCGAGAGTACACGGCGTATAGTGCACGATCATTAGAGCAAAGGTGGTAGATTCCAACCCCTTTTCTCGTTAGTTCCGCCGTCGGCCACCTAAGCAAGAGCTCGCCACTGTCCAGCAACCCTTTCACTACCACAGACCGCGCTCAACCCCTTAGTACGCACGTACAGGAGTCCACAGACTCGCGGCGATTTTTCTTCGGGGCACCAACACAGGCAGCCGGCGCTTCACCACCACGAGCGCACCGCCACCCCATCGGGCCGCGATACAAGCGCGCGGGCTAGTCGGTGAGGTTGCGCGTGTCCTCGTTTCGCGTATCGAAAGGGTAGCGAGCCTCTCTTTTGCCGGCGATCGCGCATGACCGAGCTCGCTCACCGTCTTTCCCACACACCGCTTTCGTCCTGTCGGAGAGTGACCGACTAAATTATAGGTCCGTTCGCTTGTTTATTCACGCTTAATTACGCGAAAACTTGGTAATGCTCCGGGTGTGTGTTGTGGTTGAAAAAAAAAAAAAAACGAAAGAAAGAAGGAGGATCGGTGTCGAGAGAGTTTCGCGTTACCGACGATCTGAATCTCGCGGCGAGATCGCGTCGAGATCCTCGATTTTTCATTCTCTCGCTTTTTCGCTTAACCGCGAAAACGAAAAACAAGGGGACGCAGGTTGAGATCTGTTTAAGATCGCTCGGATCGCCGGCGTTTATTTAAATCCGCCGGTGATCTCGCCGATACGACGAACGCACACCGTCGCCGCTCGGAAATACCGATGTTACACCTCGTGGTATCCGCACGGCTCACACTGTCGCGCGGCTGCCGTCGGTGTGATAAAACTCGGTCGCTCACTCTCGCACCCGTGGCTCGCCGCGTCTGACCCTCCTTCTCCGTGTACACCTTCAGCCAGAGGGTAAGAGCGCGTGGTCAGCTTGCAGCGCGAGCTCCTTTCTCTCTCTCTCTCACCCCTTCCGTCTCTTCGCCCCTCTCTTTCTCTCCCTCCTTCTCTCTCGCACCCCCGCTGTCTCTTCCGTCGCCCTACACCCCACCGTACTTTTCTCTCTTTCGCCCTCTCCGCGGCCTCCGCAAGCTCCGTCTTCCTCTTTTGATCGCTGTCCAGCGCGTCTCGGACGAGTTCGGTGGCGCTCGTATCGTTCGCCGACGTACATCCCCGTCGCGCCGTCCTTTTCCCTCCCTCACCCCTTTCCGACCCCGGCCACCCCGTACACCCACCAACGACGATTCCGTCGCGAGCTTACACGATCGAGATCTTCCTCGTCGCACCGCCGATTCTCCCGCTGCTATCGTCTTTCTCCGGACTCGTTCAGGACCGCTCGCGAGACTACCGTCGCCCCGGGTAAGGATGCCCTTTTCGTTCGGCCGATATTCTACTTTCGCCGGATGCCCATCCAGCGTCGTTCCAACGAAATCCGTGTCGCACACTCAGCGTTGAATACTCTCGTTCCGGCTGATAAGAAAGCAACGCGAAATGATAAAGATGGAGTGTGCGACGAGCCTTGCTCTGAATGAAATCGTCCTCCGACGAAATCGATGGATCGTTCGGGACGTAATGGGGCGGTCGGCGTGAAAAACGCGCGCGCGATCCTTAAATAAGTTACAGGCGGGGGCAGCATAGCGTAGCGTTAATCGACGTAAACGGCGTCTCGCATAAATCTTCAATTTTACCGCTCGAGGCAGTCGGTTGCCGCGTATCCAGCGCCAAGGGGCGGTCCTGCTCCCGTAGCACTTTTCTCCGTCTCTCCGCCGGTGCGTCGTCTCTCACAGCAACCCCCTTCAACCCTTCGTCGGGGCTCCGGCCAGCGCGCGGATCTTCTTTCTCGTTCGTTTCCCACCCGATCTCTCGTCCGTCCGCCGTCCTCGTCGCTCGTGTGAGCGCGCCTAGGAGAGCAATTGGGTGGTTGCGAGTGCGCACGGTAGAGGCGCCACCGTACGGGGCAAGCGGCCAAGAGGGGCCACCGGCTTGCTCCGCCGCTGGCCGGCGCGCGTAGTTCTCTCCCTTCGGCTTACAGCATCCGCCGGAGCTTCTCCTCTCTCCGCCTACGCGGTGCGAGTGTGCCGTGTGCGCCAGTGCGCCCGCAAGCCCGAAAGTTCGCGCTCCGCCACGCAGCCCAAGCTCTCTCTACCCGCGCGCTGATCGGCCACGTTCGTCAGGCCGGGAGCCCCCACGCAAAAAGAGACACCGGGGCCGCGCGCGCGAGCCGAGAAAAGGACGAGAAGAAGGAACGATTTGTTTCAAATATATTTCGAAGAAAAGGGAAACGTCTTTCTTTCTTTCTTTCGCTTTCGTTTTCTTTTTCCCAATAAGAAGAACCGAAAGAAACTCGCGGAAAGAGAGGAAAGGTGCCGGAGGAGGACTTTTTTAACGCGGCTCCGACGTTGTAGATACTGTGATGTTAAGAGCTCGCGCGGGAGCTCGCAGTGAGAGAGGAACGAAGAGGATCGTCCTGCCGGCTTCGAGTGCGCCGATATTGTGAACGTCTTCTTACCCGTCCTCCGAACTCGTCTACCTGGGATCGGCGCGACAAACAGGTGAGTCCTCACGAGATCGACCTCAGCGAGAACAACCCCCGGTTCCTTTCCCCCCTTTCCAATCTTCCGTCCCGCTTCTCTTCGCTCGATCTCGCGAGCGCGCGAAGCGGCACTTGTGACGATCGGGCCTATCTCATTACAGCGGAATTACGCGAGTCAACGAAGGCAACGCCGAAACTTGGACGGATCTTACGTATCTTTCCGCACGAGAGGGCTTTCCGCTTTTGCGGTACGCGCTATTTTGCCGATACGAGAGACACGCGGAGAAATTGTCGCGGCGCGAACATATAAACAGGACTGCATAACGACTTTGACGTTTGCCCTTTGACACGAGGCGTGGGTTCAGCGCGCGATCTCTCTCTCTCTCTCTCTCTAAATAGCCGAGTACATACAAGCACTCACTTGTACGTACAATTAAGCGGCCTTATGATTGTCACTTGCCTTCCTCCAGTAGAGAGGCACGTTACGAACATAACTTTGAAAAAGAAAAAAAAAAAAAGGAACGACGTATCTCTCGCTAACGAGCGAAGCACTGCTTATCCTTCACCTCTTACGACGTCCGTGATGCACCGACTGTTTCTCCTTAGAGTAGTTACACTCCGCGCGAAGGAAGAATTCTCGATCGTGTGGTGATGCCAACGGTGACGGGTGTGTGGTGTTTGTGTGTTGACTGTGCTAACGTCGAGGAATAATTCGTATAAAATGGATTCGCGTTTCAAAACGGCGCTCATAATACCGCAGTGTTAACAAGATCTGAATCTTGGCGATTCTAAAGTACGACGAGATGGTGGTGCATATAATTACCTACTTAACGGGACAAAGTGGATCCGCGTCGCTTAATCACATCAGTATAAAATGCATCGCGTAACGCAGTCGCGACAATTACAAAATGAAATTGTGTTTCGTTCCGTTGAAAGAAAAAAAACAAGGAAAAGTAGACGCGTCGGTGTACTTATATGTCGAATATATTTCAATCGAAATTAAACCTGCGTTCGATCGCGCGATCGGTGCGCTAAAATATCGATAAACCACGCGCCATCTGTGTGAAATCCAATTGGCAACTGAAAAAAGATTCGAGTGGAAAAAATGTGACCTATTACGTGCGAGTCGTGTTACAGCGTCTTATATTCAGATTTCCATCCGAATTATATAATGCTTCTGAAATCAAAAACGACAACGTAACATCTTTGTGCAATGTAAAAAATTCCGCCGTTAAAAGACCACGCCTCGACAGATTTACGTGTAATATAAAAATCACATAAATGTTGCGTTGATGAGAAACGTGAATATAAATGTCTAGCGATGAATAAAAGATTGGGTCGATACATTTAAATTGTAGGGAAAAAAAAAGTAATAGTAAATTTCGTGTAATGGACGCGACGAGCTATAAAGTATCCAAAGTACCGTATTCTAACACCGAAGTATAGAAAAATAAAAGGATATTTCAAACGCGTGATAATTCGGCAAAATTTATTACGAGCGTCTTCGTCGACAGTAGATACGGCCGACTGCTGTCAGCCGGAAAAGCCAAGACGTCAAACATTGTTCCGACGGCAGCCGTTTAACCCGCGACAAAACAAGACAGCGTAAAGCGCGACTTCGTTTTTCAATCGACGACATAAATTTAATTGAAGCCATTCCCGAACGAGATATAAATCAAAACGCGCAAATAACTCGTAACGCGGCAACATTAATACCGTAATCAGTGCTGATGTTCCGAAATACAAAGTCTAAACGAGAAAAAATTATAAACCGCGTGTCCTGATTCGCCGATTAAAGCATTTTTACATCGATCCGAAAGTATTTTAGTCGGATAACACGCGTCATAAAAGCGTTTCGTTTCTACGGTGGCGAATGAACAAGTACTCGGTGGAATAAAACTCATAGAAAAAGCGTAAGCTGTTGGCAAAAAGAATTCGCGATCGGTGTCGTAAAGTGACGGTTAATCACTCCGTTTTCGTTGATAATCGTGCGGCAGATTCGCGTAGACGAACACTATAACTTCGAACTTCAGACAAGCCTTGGAAATCCAACTTTTTTTTAGCGTACACTTGAAATTGTGATCTGTAGCGATGCCGAAAACGGGTTGCACGGTCAGGTACGCAGAGCAATGACGTATCCGGATAGCACTTTTAACATCTTGGTCGTACTGCCGTTCGTGTAGAACTGAAGTCACCGGCAGGAGCAGCCAGGTCCGACGAAGAGTCCAGTAGAACCAGTTTCACCGGTTTTAGGGTTAACACGCTTGAAGAAGAAAAAACCGGAAAAAAACAACGAAGAAAAAAACTCGAATTTGGAGCGGAAGGGTTGCAATAAAGCGCGCGGCGCAACTGTTTTGCTGTCGGAATGCCGCGTGCAGTTAGCGGTTCGATCGATGGTCGCGTATAAACAGCTAATAATCAAACGAATCGTGTCATAAACAATCCCCACGGTGGGGGTGGTGGGGTGGTGGTAAAAGTATAAATGAGTGTCGATCGGTAGTGGGGTATACATCCAGGGGTGGGGGTGGCGGCTTCGAAAAGCGCAGAAAAGCTTGACCCGCATAAAAATTTGTTTCGATACATCCGCCACCCTAGCGACTCTCACCACTGCGGGGGTGGTTTCGTGTGGACGTATCCCTCGTAGATTTTAGAACGTCGACCTGTTACGACGTCTGAAGTCTCTTCGTATCTCAAGTTCGGACGAATTGCACGCGATTGTTACGCGCGCAATATTCCGAACGTTGTTTGCAGCTTTTCGGCCGGAATACTTTGCCATTCGGCCCTTTTCGATCACGCGCGTACTACGCGAGCCAGCCCCTATAGGCTATAAACCAACTTGAAATTGATATCAGTTTTCTAAAACTCCGAGTAAACCCTAAACGATTATACTCGTTCAGCCATTTAAATCGATACGATCCCGTGGTCAAAGGGCCAGGCGCGAAAAAACTTTCGCGATAGCGCGTCGCAGGTCGAAAGCGCGTTCTTGTGTCCGATCGACTACGTACCGTTCAAGCATAACTCTCGGTTATCAGAAAGAATTTCCGTGATCGCGTTCGTAGTCACACTCAAGAGAGGGAAATTAGTTTGATTAAAACAGAGCGTTCTTCATTCCAACTTTCTATATGATGCAGTTTTGAGTCGTGTGATTAAATTGCCTCGCGGAATTTTAGGTCTCCCTTTTCTCCCTCTGCTGCTTTCAAAATTTCTCTCTGAATAAGTATTCGTGTTGTTTCCATTTCATCGCATGTATCTTATCACCGTTTGCTTTACTAGCAGTAACTATTTAATCGTTGTAGCTATTTGATCACCAAATATTTCAAAGTTTTTCTAAAGAAGCACTTCCTTGAAAAGCGTCTCTTCGATACGCGAACGTTTTATGCGCATCGGTCGCGCGATTGAATGTTATTGAAGTACATTCGACATACATGTCTATTTTTCTTTCTTATTTTTTTAAATGAAACAATACACAATTTCTGAGAAGTACTTCCTTGAGAAGCGTCTCCTCGATACACGAATTAATATACAGCGATATTGAAGTGATTGTTACTTTGTATGTAACTTTTCATATATCCCCGATTCAAATTTTCCGAGTTTGCCAAAATTGCGTTCATTTTTGCAGTTACAAATAATCAAAAGAAGGATACGGTCGGTGTATTCTGCAAACTTTTGTTGACCATAAAGCAACATGGCACGAATGGCTTTGAGAATCTACGAGTGCCTTTTTATCAATATATTATTTATAAAAAGCATCCTCCACCTCGTATTTTACGAGAAACTCGCATTTACAGATAAGCATTATATCAACCTACACATGAAACTTCACGCAGAATACGGTGATTTTACCCCCCTTTTGAGAGATTTCCCTAGAGAAACGTCCAGATGAAACGTAATCTTACAAAAATTGCTCATAGATCGACCACGGCGAATGACGTTCATACACGCCCGGAAGATATGCTTTTATATTCTCAGTATTAATTGCACTCCCATTTGGCGCATTACGTTTAAGATGACTCATTTATATCACGTCTGTCACAGTTTTTCGTGTCTCGATTTCAGCTATTGCATCATGCAATACGAACGTATCTCATTACCTATGTGTGTGCACTTTCCACTCAACCTTAAAATTCCATTTGTATCTTTCCGGATGGATTTTTTTCCAATATAAACGCGGCAGATACGAAAATATCGCTCGTTCTCCGATTCTCCGCGACGAAAGAATGACGAAGCGTTCGAGAAAGGCACATCCGTTGCGGAAAGGTAAAAAGGCGAACTTATTGTTGCTTCGCGAGAGACTTGGTTAGATCACCACTGTCCCATCTGAAAGAAGAGCTCCGTTCGTTAGCGGCGAGATATCGTTGAAAGTAACGCGCTAGGTCGCGGAGTTCATCCCGGAAAGAAACGCGGCGAAAGTGATCTTGTCGGCGCGTCACATTGACGCGTAACCAGGACGGGACGTATAGTCGTCGAAGATCGATGCGCCTGAAACCGTTCAAAAAAATGACAACAATATATACGGCCAGCCTTTCCCCTCTGCCCCTGTAAAAAACCACGAGGTCGGTCCCGTTGTTGTCTCTCGCAGTGGGAACGCCGGGCGAGGGGTGGGGGATATGTGTGCTCCGAGGGTGAACGGTATGATAACGTCGAACGGGTCGGCACGCGATGTATCGGTCGGTGAAGAGAGGAAAAAATGGAGGGGGTGGGGGATTGTGAAGGTTGCCCCCGAAAGAATCGAAAGTTTCGTCGAGTCGTGGAGAGATCCGCGGAGGCAGCGTGGCGGACGGGGGCGGTTGGAGGAAAGGGTTGGGGTGACTCGAGGCTGCTTGCTTGCTCGCAAGGAGTAGGGGGATACATCGGTGGATCGGGGGTAGTACGACGAGGGGATGGAAAGGACGCGCGCGTAGAGGGGGTAGAGGGTGAGTGGGTTAACTGCAAAACCCGATCGTCCGTGTTTTTATCTTAAGACGACTCTCCTCTCCTCGTAGAAGCCGTACGAGACGAGAAGAAGGGGTTTCGCGTCTC